CTGTGACTGTGCCCCCACAATAGATCAGCAGAGTACTTATCTGTGACATACAGAGTTGCCTTCCTCTGTTCAGAATCTCCCTCCCTTAATCTACTCTTCTCTGGCATTCTTCACTGTATGTTTGAGCCTGTTTGCTTTGGGGCATACCTAGCAAATGGATGAAATTGTGAAAAGGAGACACTTCTATTGAAACTAGAAGCCTGTCCCTGTGAGTGACTTTAAGCTTCAGAAGCTTTCTTGAAGCACTGAGGCAATGAGCTTAATATATATTAATTTGTTTGAAGGAATGTTAGTGATTCTGTGGACCAGTAATTGAAGCTGATTAGACCTAAGATAGTAGGGGGAAAAAATGGAGTAGCAGAGGAATCCATAACTACTTTGTTAGGGAGCAAGAAGGTGGCAGAAGGATTTACCATAAGGAAAGCATATGAATGAAAATGTAAAAAACATCATGTTGAAAGGAATGCAATGGATTATATTGCTGAAGGAAAAAAGTAATAGGAAATAACAATGACTTGAAAATAAATAGGAGCATAAAATTCTTAAAGAACAAGAAAAACATTGAATTTGGGAAGACTTCCTTTCTATAATCTAGCTATTTTAACTTCGAAGGTGTCTGAAGTGAGGCATTCCACATGTATAAAGTAGTTCCCCAGATGTTTTCCCTCTGTCACCTATTTGTTGATTATGACAAGATGTATTGATACTGGATCTGTGTAGCTGATTTACCTTGAACACTTGTAAAATAGTTGTGAATTACTGACTTAAAAAATGCTCAAGACCGGTCAGAAGCCAAGTACATAGAGTAAGTAAAAACTGTAGAAACTACAGAAGATGTAGCTACATTCATTTTCTAATATAATGGAAAATTATTGAAAGTCTGACCAGAATGTGCAAAGCCACTGTCAGGTCTTCGTAGTCACATCATGGTTTTGATTAGTTGTTTGGCTTTTGGTTTTCAGAATAAAACAGGGTAGCATAGTCTGTACTTTAGGCAATACAATTCACACACATATATTTTCAAACGAAAACCCTCTGAACTCCTGTTTTGTACTGAGGAAAAACAATCTCTATGGCCTTCGTAGTGCAGGGCTTCATGTCCTTTTATGTTAAAACTAAACTTTAAGCATAACTGCAGGTATTTTAATCTCTATTCTTAGTCTAGCATCTTTGTCTCTTAACACTAGTTCACATTCATAATTCTACACTTCACAATGACCTTTCTTCTCTTTCTCCCCCCCTTCCCCAAAATTTTCTTAGGAGGTTGAAGCACTCTTCAGGGGAGATAATTTGCCTAAATTTATCAACTGTGAGTTTGCCTATAATGACAATTGGTTCATTACATTTGAGTCAGAAGCTGATGCACAGCAGGTAACAACTTTTTTTCCCCCTCACATGTAAAATATTGTATATAATTATTCAATCTTTAGAATGCTTCAGGGCAGCAGCTCATGATGGGCATGAGCAAAAATCCACATGGTATATAAATGTTTTTTGACTATTTCAAGTGAAAGAAATACTGTTAAATATCCAGTTAGTAATATCGGAAGTCACGTGCTATTTAAACATAACCAGTAAGAACTTTATCCTGTGGCATATTCTGTTTTATAAATATAAATAGCTATATCACCATATATGTATTATCTCATAGAACTGGAAGGGACCTTGAGAGGTCATAGAGTCCAGTCCTGTGCTCTCACGGCAGGATCAAATACTGTCCCTGACAAGTATTCCTGTGAAATACTTTATTTACTAAGAATGGTGGTATGCAGTTAAATATTTTGAATCATCAAGCATTAAAAAACATCTGATTGAGACTTTTCAGTGGCTTTTAAAAAGCTGCGTAATTCTATATCAAATTTAATTTCAGTTGCTGAAGAATTGTTTATTCAGTTGCTTCTCTTTATTTAGTACTGCTGATACTTCAAATACAGTACTAGTTCTTCTCTAACAAAACTCACCTAATAGTAGTAGTTTAATATTAATGATGGCTATTTGACAACTTTTTTTTTTCCATGTCAATTTTAAAAGGCTTACAGATACCTTAGAGAAGAGGTGAAAACTTTCCAAGGAAAACCCATCAAGGTAAATGAATGAGTTTGTACTACTTTATTTGCTACCAACATAATAGTTGACATGCTTAAATAATCTAAATCTATCTTGCAGGCAAGGATAAAAGCAAAGGCAATAGCTATAAACACATTTTTGCCAAAGAATGGATATAGACCTCTGGACATGAATCTCTACACACAACAGCGTTACACAGCGTCCTTTTATTTACCTCCAGTATATAGTCCCCAACAGCAGTTCCCTTTGTACAGCTTAATTGCCCCGCAGACATGGTCCACTACACACAGCTATCTTGATCCAACATTGGTAAGTGTTTAGGAGCATAAACAGTGTTTGTTTATAGCTGCTGCATGTTTAACTGTTAATTTAACCACTTTGAAGGACTGCTGGTGGGAGGTCACAATCTGAATTCTACTCTGCTGATATGTGATTTTTTTTTGTCTTTTATTGAAAGTGGACATTGGCAATCTATATTTGGGGTATGAGGGCCTCTCTTTGAAAGAGACATCTGATTTCTTTTAATCAAAAAGAGAGGTTTAAGAAGTTACTTTCCTCACATTTTTAAATTCACATCATAGGTTTTTGTTCTTAAAGGTTAGACACTTAAGATTTCTGCTCTGAATGAGAAATACTTTTTTTTTTTTTTAAGGTAACCTTCAAAGCATGAGTGTATTTAAAATCCACTTCAATATTAGGTGCAGAATGCACCTAACAGGACTAGCTGAGGGGATATTCTAGCACATTAACCTTTGCAAGATAAAATCTTACGTGTTAAATTAATGTGCAGGATTGCCCTATCCCACGTACCCTGACAGTGGCAAAACTAATATTTTATCATGAGATATAAGAATTGTTCATAATCTTTAAAGTAGTATCGATGATAAAAAATCTTAGCTACATTTTCTGTATTCAAAACTGTGTGACTTAGTGACATACTAGAGTTAATTCGGGCGGCCGGCTCTGCTCTCCACTTGTGCTTGTTTATATGGCCAGTGGTATACATGCTTGCAGTTTTTTGTGCACTTAGTGCAGGGGTGGGCAATAATGTTTGATGGGGGCCACTCCAAGAATTTGGAAAGAGGTTGAGGGCCACACTCTTCCATGATATTAGTGGAGGAGGTGCGGGGGTCTGGGATGGAGCTTGAGTGAAGGAGGCAGTTGTGACCTGGGGCGCTGGCCTGGGGTGTAGGGGGTTGGACTGTGACCTAGGGCAAGGAATTGGGGTACAGGAAGGGGTGAATGGATTGCGGTGCCAGATCTGGGAGGGGATGTAGGTGCAGGAGTGAGGGGCAGTGTTCTCACTAAGCTGCGAGACAGCACAGCTTAGACTGAAGGAACATTGCTGCCTGCTCTGCTCCTCCACAGGCTGCAGCGTTGTGCTCTTCAGCACCTTGTATTTCATGGCTGGCTGTTGTTGAAATGGGCAGCTCCCATTGGCTGGTTTTTGGCCAGAAACTGGCCAGTGGGATTGTACTGGGGCAAGAGCAGCTCCTAAAGCTTCCCCCCTCCCCTCCGAAGTAAAAGTTGTTAAAGAAAAAGGGCCCTGCAGCCACGCTTCTGAGCCTCATGCAGGTGGGGCGAGAAAAGCAGGGAGCTTTTCTAGAGTTCCCCCGTGTGTCCGCAGGCCACATCCAGCTTGCCCTCCAGCTTGCCACGGTTGTCATAGGTGGAACCAGCCTCCAACCCCCACATCTGTCTTCAGTTGAGGTTATAAGAAACTAGGGTATTAGTGCTCAATTAGGAAGACTATACAGAAATCTTGGCAAAGGATTAAAGTCTCCTTGAATGAACTCCCTGTGTATCGAAAGACAAGATAATTAGAAAGTTGTGGTGAACGTGTTTGACACACAGGGAAGTCAGCCAGGATCCTTTGCTGTTAGTGTTAAAATGGAGCTAGAGAATGAGGAAGAGAGTTGGTGGAATCCACATTTATCTCCGGAGACTCATGTCCTGATTAAATAACACCAAAAAAGCTAGGTTAATTTTGAGATGTGAGCAAATGACAGCTGTAATTGCACCACTTTCAAAAGCAGTCACATTATTGGTGTCCAATAGGATGTCTGGTTATGTCAAAGTAAATAAAAGCTTTACTTGGTTCTGGGTTCCACT